ACACACTAACACACACACACACAGATTCTGGCAGGAGTGAAGTGAGACAGCAACAGTGAGCGGCGCTAACCACAGGGGGCCACACATATCTACAGTGAGTAAGGACATAACGGCTCACATTTGGCAGCTCACCGAACAGAGCTTACCATAACAGACAAAGGATTATCCATGAGCCAAAAAAAAAAAAAGGCTGTTACTGCTCCCATACCAACACCGACAAAAATCACCAACATCTAAGTATTTCAGGAAACAACACACTTAGAAATTACACCGCACTGCAAAAATGATAAAATAGGAGGTACTTTCTAACATATGAGAGAAGAACTTAGCCAGAAAAGTAAATTTATGATCATTGTAATAGATTATTATGAGGAAGAAAAAAAAAAAGGCATGATGCAAGTACCACACCTTAGCTAGCTATAATATTAATAAAATAAACACAGAAAATAGTCAAGAATTGCCTAGTTGCTGCTTTACTAAAATGTTATTGCACAGTGATTTATAAAGTTGGCAAAATGAACAATGAAAAAATTTTAGTTTAAAAGGAATCAAATACTTTTAAGATTATATTTCTGTATTGTATGTTTGTATTTTTCTCAAACCAATTAAAACAACTCCAATTGATCCAAACCGATCCCGGAGTAATATTGACCTGACCCACTACTACTACTGTTTGCAACTGTGGACTTATGGGAATTCCCTGACCCCGAGTGGATCAGGGATGAACCCAGACACACGTGCTCAGATATGTAGGTTAGCATCACTCAGCAGTTACATAAAACACCACAAACCTGTAATCTGACCAGTCTTTCTTCCTGCCCACTGAAGCGGCTTCTCTCTCCTCCTCTTTTGCCCCCAACTTACCATGAAAGCTGACGTCCCTCCGGTAGCAGGCAGAGGTATAGAGGTGGTGGTGGTGATGGGAGGGGGGGGAAGGGGGTGTATAGCGACAAATCCACCTAGCCTAGCGTCATCTTCACCTCCCAGGGTTCTCCTCCTGGCAACCGGACACTCTCAGCAGGAGATGAGTGTGGAGGATCGGCCGCGGAGGGCAGAGGGACACACCCCGAACCAGAGACTAGATAGCGGCATGGTGCTAAGCTGCTGCTGCTGGTTTGCCCCCCTCTCTCCCTCTCTATCCTCTCCTCTGGGCGTCTGCTCTGGCGAGGATGTGCGGATAGTATGTATGTGTGTGAGAGAGAGAGAGAGCAGAGTGGTATCCGTGACAGGAGAAATGCAGCTCTGTGTGTGCGGAGGTGGTCTAGGAGAGGAGAGACGAGTCCAATCGAGCGCAGAGGACTGGATTGGGTTGCAGACGGTGGGTGGAGGCTGGTGCAGGCAGTGGGGGATTGAAGAAAAACAAATAGTCCCTTCCTTCTGCTTAATCTTTCTTCCGATCACTCAGCTCAGGTTGATTGTAGTTTCATTTGTCTATAGAGTAATGTTCCAGAAATGCCAAGACTTTACAGAGTTTGTTTGGCTCTATATGACTATTATTGCGGATCACCTTCAGTTTGCATTTAGAGCATAACCATTTGTATATACTCTGGTGAATAGAGCTGGTATCTGTCAGACGCTGCGCTACGGGACGCCTCGAGACACAATGAGAGAGCAAGAAAATAAAGCAGTTTATGAAATTAAGAGTTTAGCAGCAAAAACAGAGATCGCTGTTTTGAGAATGTGTCAAAAAGTTGGTTTGTTATTGGCAGTGAATTTGAAAGAATCTGCCCAAGAAAAGGAGAAACTATACTTGTATGGCATTATAATATATCTAGATTTTCACAAAAAACTACTTCAAAATAGATGTCCTAGTGTTCAAAAGGTTCCATAGTATAATGTAAGGAAAAGTTAGCCATTCCACGAGTCCAGTCCGTAAACGTACGACTTGTAGATAGTTAATTATGTGCGAGTCCACAAAAAACCACTCACTATGGCCAGGGATCATTTACATATTGCAAACATAAAGCACAAACTATACCAGTGCTTGTTCAGAGAAGCACTTTACACAAAAAGCCGCCATCTTAACTCCGTTAGCATCAAAGCCCGCCACTTCAGCCGTACACAAAAGCGAGGCAGAACTTCATTCATCTACCAGAACCCCAATCACACATAACCCACACATGTTGAAACCAAATCTTATATTAGATGGGATAATGCATAACACACACCTGCTCACGGAACAGCTGAGTAAATAAATAATAAAGACAATGAGAATAGTGTTGATGTCTATATTTATGGGCGGGACTTTATGCTGTGTAAATATGCTCCTTGCCTCATTTCTTAGTCTTTATGACAAAACATGCATCACACCCACAATCAACCCATTTCAATCATGTTATATTACGGCGTATGCAGATTTGCAGGTGCAGGAGGGGTTGTATACTGTCCATAATAATTTGCATATGAAAAGGTCTGAGGTCTTTTGATGACTTGCAGCTCAGAGAAGCCAGGATAGGCCAGTCCGTGTCAACAGCCTCATAATGACCAGCAAATAAAGGACATCAATGGCTTCAATGCCCCAAACACTGACGTCAGGGCAGGACAAAAGCTGAAACCCCAGCCTGCCGAGCGGGCACACACACACGAACACGCACACAAACCCGCAAACAATATTAGATTACACTGAAGAGAGACAAACCAGACAAAGACAAACTAAACACCTATACAATTTAAATGATTTATATTTTACATTTTATTATTATGTTTGAAACTCAAATTTCCAAATAAACTCGTATCTGGACTTGAAAAGGTTATTAAAAGAAAACTAAAATTACCAACATAGATTATGGGTTCTTTAGCTCCAGGCTAGTAACCCTCTTTCCAGATATTATAATTGATCCATGGTAGAGGCAGCCATCTTGTCCCAGGTTTGTTTTGCTAAAGAGGTTTTAGGTATTTCATGACACTTTGAAGCAACTGTGGTTAATGTTCCAACTCATCATTCTAACATATGAAGAAGCCAGGACTTTTCCCTTGTTTTGGTTATCTCCTCAAGGTTGAAGCTACAAGCACACTGTGGCAGCTGCTGATTGGAGGACTCAATTCCTCCCTGCTGTATATGACCACTTGCAGTCTGTAAAAGCGTTGTTCGTGCTCGTGTTCGTGCCGTCTACCATGACAATAAAACATGTCTTCTGTCTGAATTAAAGACACGATCCCAGACTTTGTCATCTTCTTCAAGGTGTTTAAATTAGATGTTAATGTTGGCTTTGTTGATGACAGAGATTTCAGAGGCAGCCGGACGCTAAACCATCCGCCAACGGGTCACACACAATACAAACCCCAATTAGTCTCACTGAACTTAGAGCTAAGGCCGGGACCTTCAAGTTTGTGAGTAAAATCTCTTTTATAAAAGAAAATACAGTGTTTATATCATGTCTTCATGGTCCGAACCAAGAGGATCAAGTGAAAATCCACTGGAGGAATTCTAACTTTTAGAAAATTGCTAATGAAGCATTTAACATTTTACTTGGACCAGAGCAGAGAAAATGGTCCGAACCAAGCGCCTGCTGTGACCTATTACCGTTATTATTGTTAGATTTTTAGAAAGATCAATTCATTCATTTGTTTTGTTTGTTTGGATGGATGTGTTTTTGCTGCTACTGGACACCGGACACGTATCTAAATATATCTTATTGTATTTGATACAGTATTTGCCAAAACAGTTAATTAAGATTAAGAGATCTTTCATTCATCCCACGGTTGGGAAATGTCAATGCAATGTATTGCTCCGATTGTGTAGCTTTTTGCAACATGCTCAAACCACAAAGTTGACAATACAATATATGGTCGCACCGATACGATTCTGGTATCGAGGCAGATATCGGAAAAATTGTTGGATATTTGTTGATTAAGTAGATACCCTGATTAAGCCATTGAAATTATGCATTAAAACTTTTTCCCCATGTAAATCATGAGCTAGCTTATTTTTAAAACAGCCTCTTGAAGGTCGGTCCACTCCTAATACAAGGGCTATGATTTCTACACACTTCATATCAATTGGGTTTTTCCCCCAGGCTCTTCTCTGGCTCTTATCGAGAACCAGCACATATCGAAATCCACAGCGTTGAAATCAAACAAACAAAATCTGGATTAGTGCAAACCCTATTTGTATCGTTTCAATGAATATGTACATTACCAACACCACTCTTTCACTAAATCCATCATAAAACAGAGCCATACAACAGTCTAAGTAAAATGACCCACGAGATTCTGCAGATACTGAAGCGAAGGAGATTGTTCTCGTCTCACACGAACGAGATCAGGTCGTGTCTGCCCCAGAGTCCAGGAGCCCCGTGGGATTGAGCGGCTACAATCACCCGCAGATAATGGAACCAGATTAGGACTAGGAACATGTACTGGCCTTCACTTATGCTCTCATTTCTGTATCGTTATCGGGAGACACAGAAACATCTTTGAAAGTCGCAAAATATATGTAGTGGAAGCTTTGGGAAGAATACCCTTTTCCTGGAGGTCTAACACTGCAGTTTAAACCAGATGTCTCCAACCTTTATCAGCCAGAGAGCTACTGTCCAGAGACAATAAAAGGCAGAGAGCTACTGTCCCAGGACGATAAAGGCAAAGAGCTACTTTCCCAGGACAATAAAAAGGCAGAGAGCTACTTTCCCAGGACAATAAAAAGGCAGAGAGCTACTTTCCCAGGACAATAAAAAGGCAAAGAGCTACTTTCCCAGGACAATAAAAAGGCAAAGAGCTACTTTCCCAGGACGATAAAGGCAGAGAGCTACTTTCCCGGGATGAATGAGGCAGACTCCTTTAAGCTGGGAGTAGTGTGGTGATATATTTGTGTGATCGAGCCGAATATCGCGCACAGTCATTATCCATCATTGCTTATTTGTTACTACTGCACAATCTACAATAATACATAATATTTCAGATTGTACAATTCAATATCATCAAGTATAATATTTGATTTCATTCCTTTCTAAAATCGTTTGGCGAGCTACTCGTGGCTGCCGAGCTACAGGTTGGACACGTACCTTTTGGATTTTCTTGGGGTCTTTGATGGGGCCTTCTCGTGGCGGGACTTTTCCAAAGAGCTTCCAGCCTGGATCCCTCTGCTCAAGCGGCCGGGAGTCCTTCACTTTGCGAGCGAACAGGCTCCTGAGAACAAACACAGGTGAGAGGTGAGTGGCAGGTGGAGACACACACAGACACCATGTTAGACCAAGGAAACGAAAGGACAACTCAAAACTTGGCCCAAAATTATCCCAATATCCATTTTAAACACATCTATTTTCTTATTGTCTGGTCTGTGTCATTATACATTACACTTAAAGCACTTTCTCATGTTTGGGGTTGTACTTTTGTTTTATGTCATGCTTTTTTGTTATTATTATATTTTGATTGCATTTTAAGAATACATTTTACCCCCGGTCCCTCCCACAATATCCCCAACAGGAGAGATGGAATATGACATTTAACCCACAACACATTTATAACAACAACAATAATGTAAAATACCTTAAAAAGGATAAAGGGAATAGATAATGATATTAAATTGGGTAATTGATATGACATTCCAACATACATGTGTAGATAAATACCTATACATGCGCAAACATATGCTCATATAGCACTTTTTGTCATGTTTGTTCTGTTTGGGGGTTGTACTTTTGTCTTCTGTTGTGCTCTTTGTGTGTCCTCGTTGAATGTTAAAGTGTATGTTTTGTTGTCTAAAAAATATAAAAAATAAATATAAAGACACTGCTTTAATCGGAGTACAAAGTCACAGAAATCAACGCCCGATTTTGCCAATTCTCCACTGAAAAAATAATAATAAAATAGTTCTGCCATCATCACACATTCAAAGCAGAGCTACACAAAACACACAAGTCCACAAACGCCTGTCCTTTGTGATTTTGGCGAAAATGGAGGAGCAGAGAAAGCAATTAACGTTTTGGAAGTGACTAAGAAGAGGTGAAAGACAAGGATAGAAAACTAGAATGGCTCTGGGGAAGGCCCAGGTCTTTCAGAGGCGAGACTTCAGGCAAAGTCGTCCTAAATGCTTTTAAAAAAACAAATGAATGACTTTCAAACCAAAGTCGCTCTGTACTGAGTGTTTTGTCCCGTTTGTTGTCATGCTTGGCTGATAATGGTGTCTGCAGTGCTAACACATCTTATTCTTACATAACAGATGAATTCCTTTAACCACCATCACCGTGTGGTTCTAAAGTTGGGAAAAAGTCATTCTCTGTATTTTAATTTGCTGAATGTCCCAGTTAACATCCGTCAGCCATACACCCCATAGACTGTAAATATTAAGATATACACCCAAACTAAATGGGCTTGTTCAGACTAAAAAGTGGGACAGAGGCCAAATATTAGGCTTTAATAATCACAAGATATATATTTGTAAGTATTCAAATCCCTCCTCAGTCCATTAGAAGTTTCTAGAACAGACTGTTTCATAATTTAGTCCAGTTTCCTTAAGTAAAAGTTTGTTAAATATTTTCAGATCCACATTTTATTCATAGTTCTTTTATTATTATTATCATGTTACACATAAAATAATTTACTTTCATAAAGTAAACCAATTTATGTGAAACCCGACCATTTTACTTTAATATAGAAAAAAACTGAGGGAAATAATCACGTCCGTTACACATTTCAGGGTAATTTAAATTTGTATTGATTATTTTATTTTAATGATTCCTTTTTAAGTGATGTGTTAATATGAATCTGTGGAGTTCATCTTTGTGTCTGACCTTTTATTTCAGAGTTTAAAATTTTGCCATTAATGTATTTGTCAATCTTTCCTTTTGATTTTATCCACACTATCTCTTTGATAGATCTGTTTGAAACCTTTTTTTTCCCCAATCTATGATAGCACATTTAGTTTGTGTTGTATAACCTTTTAAAATCCAGATGTTTTAATTCACACTTTACACTGAACACACCCACATCCTAAATTGAATGGCTTTTTCATGTTTCAATTTCAAACCCAAACGCCCCATGATACCGTTTATTCAACCATCCATCACAGCGGTCACTGGACGGGATTAAATTAAAGCCTTGACAAGATCACAGGCGTCAAATGGAATTGGACGAAAGCCAAGAGTGACCAGTCGAGGTGACGCCACAAACCGCTGCACTCAAAAGGTTCATGCATCATTATTTAGCCACAGACATTGAGCTCCAGAATAGATGAAAAATGCGCAAAACACCAAATCCAATGATACAAGGGGGGACTTTAGCATGTAGTGTGTGTGACCGCAGGCTGCAGTGAGGCTTTGTGTATTTTGTACAGATTATATATAGTCGCATAATAAGCATTTTTTATATATACGCTGCACGGCTTTTAACAGGAACCAAAAAACATGAGAACATTTCTGATTTTAGCTTCTTTGCACTAGCTTCCGACTGAAGCCCCTAAGCTTTTTGACTTCATTAAAAAAAAAACGTTGAGTATTTTTGTGCAGTTATCTATTTCTACAGCCCACTTTATGGGTCGTGAGTGAGGTGTTGGTCACACAATCCCATATCAACGGTTACATAAGACAATATTGCATTATAAACCAACTCCGTGAACTTGGGTGTTATGCAAAGTTTCCACTACACAGCTCTTAAGAAACAAACTGCTCAAAACTCTCCGACCGGTTTCCTGTGGCTCCGAGAACAGACTTTAAAGCAAATTTTTAACGCATTTATACTATTGTTTCCAACTTGTTTTACTAAGTGCTTAGAGTTGCCTTTTTGTTTGAACTGGGCAACACAAATAAACTTGCCATGTCCCTTGAAGTGCCTTGAGCTACGTGACTGAATCCGGTCAAAACTGATTGGGCGCTCACGTGGAACCAGCAGCTTTTACATTGCATTGCTGAGATTTGTAATGGAAAAAAGGGAAAAAAAAAAAAACCACACACACAAGAGGCCTTTAGCAAATAGCGTACGCTCGAGCAAACAAGGAGAATATCTGGCAGAGAAACTAAACAAGCTAGCACAGGATCACCCGGAGAAAACACGTGTGGGCCCCTCCGACACGTGTAGGAAGGTCATAAAGAAGCAATAAACTTCAACATTTTAGACAAATCCAACACATTTTAACAAAACACTGTATTCTTGACATGATTAACTGAAAAGTCCGAAGAATAATATAGAAAAAAATATGGACATACATTATTATTGGGAAATTATCTAAATCTCCACTCATACCATCTGGGCTTGTTCAGACTAAAAGGTACAACTGTGTGACAAAAGGGCAAAGATTAGATTTTTATAATCACAAGAAGATATATTATGTTTATCATGTATCCAAATCCCTCTTCTGTTCACTAGAAGTTTCTAGAACAGACTAAAATTAGCCAAGTTTCCTTTAGTCTCTGTAAGTTTGTGTAAGCTCTCAGTCGTACAGGGATTAGTCAAAGCAAAGGAAGGTTTCTCACCCAACATCTGTACTTCTTAGCAAGTTTTCCCGACGTTTCGTCCTCAACCTAGCGGACTTCTTCAGGGAATGAATTCTCGGACCGCGCGTTGGAGATTTATAACCTATGGGTGTGGCTAACCACACCCATAGGTTATAAATCTCATCAGTTACCTATGGCTAACCACACCCATAGGTTATAAATCTCCAACGCGCGGTCCGAGAATTCATTCCCTGAAGAAGTCCGCTAGGTTGAGGACGAAACGTACGTCGGGAAAACTTGCTAAGAAGTACAGACGATGGGTGAGAAACCTTCCTTTGCTTTAGTCTCTGTATTGGACTTGATCCTTTTTTTTTTTTTTTTTACATTATTTTCAGATCCACATTTGATTCTTACATGTTTTTTTTTTTTTTTTTTTTTTTTTACACAGAGTAGAAAAAAAGTTAAATGTGAAACCAGACCTTTTTTTTTTTTTGACTTTAATTATTATTACGGAAATCATCACGTCCGTTACACATTTTTCAGGGTCATTTAAATTTGTATTGTTTTTTTTCTTTAAATTATTCCTTTTTAAAAAGCAGTGATTTCCTGATGTTTTGTTTATGTGAATCTGTGGAGTTCATCTTTATCTGACCTTTCATTTTCTCTGTCCCTGAGTCACAGAAGGACCCAATCAGAGGCTGAGCTGGTTGTTTAATCTTTTGTTTTTATCCACACTTTCTTTGACATGTCTGTGTTGGAAATCTGTTTTGTACATCTATGAAAGTAAATTTAGTTAAGTTATAACCTTTTAAAATCCAGATACTTGAAATGACACTTTGCTGTGAACACACTTTTATAGCGTTATCAATAATAAAACTGTGCTGAATGGCCCTGCTGCTGTTGCCTTACTATTTGTTTTTTTTGTGCTATGCCTTAAGTGCTGTTGCCCGATTATTGTTTGTAACTTTTTGAGTATGAGCTTATGCATTTGTGTATGGATGTGTTTCTGATGCTGGACACCAGAATCTCTCCAACAGGGATCAATAAATTATCTTTCTATACTATACTTTTACAATACAACACAATTTATTCTTGTGTAGCCCTAAATCACAACAGCATCATCTCAGATCAGAGAATCAACAGTTAAGACACAAAAAGTATATAGAACACATGTTGAAGAATGTTAAAGTGTCATGGATCATCACCACATACTTTTTGTTGGAAAAACTGATAACTTATACTATACAATAATATAAAGCCCTATGTACTTGACATCAGTTACCTATGGGCGAATTTTTTTGCACTGTCCCCGTCATATAAATAAGAAAAAATATATATAGCTAGGAATGAGATTAAAAATGAATCAGGCCTTAAGGAGTGCAGTCAGCGAACCTACACACACTGACACTGAGAAATCCACAAAAACTGTGGAAAAAAAAGAACGATCATTTGAAGCAGCAAAATCAAAACATGACGGTCTTAAATCCAATCCCAATGAACTCCCCTACCTGTCAGTGAACAGGACGAGTGAGGGCACTGCCATGTCGTTACCAAACCAAGTTAATTCCAGCCAGAAACAGGTCTTTAGTCAAACTCCAAGGCGACGCGTGCCATTGTCTCACTGAGCAGAGTAAGAGCTGGAAACAGAACCAGGAACACTCACGTCCCTCCCACTCAGTCAGAGGAGAATAAAGCGGAGAGAGGAGGGAAGGAATAAGTAACTTGTGTGTGCTAAAGGCGAGAGGTTAGAGAGGGCGTTTAGTGCAGGGCTGGTGCTAGCGGCTCACGGAGGAAAAGTAATTTTGCAGTAACAGACTCTGGTAATGATTTCACTTTTATTTTTTTAAGTTTACCGAACACTGCAAATTCTTAATCTGGTTCAAGTGTGGAATGTGTTAGAGATGTTTAGGACAAAGTTAGTTGACACAATGGCAAAGTTAAACTAGGTTCGAAGACACAATGTTAAGACTCAATTGAATAACGGAGTCACTGCTAAATCTTGCCTAGTTTACTTTCTATTATAGATTTATAGATTGTGTGATCAGACCACTGCCAAACTTTTGGGCCCGCCTTTCAAAATCAGCATCTCGGGCCTGTATTACGAGCCCAGGTGATTAGCCGACAGTAATCAGGTAAACCCGTGTCGAGCCACATGTGCTACTTGCCTGTTGAACAGACTGGCCAGCGGCCCCTGTCTTCGCTCTGGCTTCACCGGGCTCCACACGGCCTCTGGGGAAGACGACAGCGTCACGTCAGAGAAGTGCGTCGCACTGTCGTCCGTCTCCAAGGCGACGATGGCACTGGAGTCGGACGTCACCGTGCAATCGGCCGCATCGTCGTTCGTCATCGACAGCTCCGTGCTCAGGCTGGAGCCGCTGCAGACTGAGATGTTGTCGCTGCGGTTCAGGATGCCACTTCCGTTCCCTGCGCTCGGTCTCACAGGGGAGGCAAAGGGCCGCACCGAGTTGAAGCTGCTGCGAGGAAAGGTGGACGACTTGTGGACGCCGTCACCATCGCTGTTGAGCGGCAGAGTGGCGGGCGAGCTGTGGCGCGGGGCGAGAGGCTGGTGGAGCTCCGCCGGCTGGATTTCCAACGTGGGGATTCCGGAGTCCTGGGAGGTCAAGCTATGGCTGTCCGGGTCGGAGGAGTAGTCGTCGAGGCGTGGGCCGTCGCAGAAGAAATGGTGAGGGGCGGGGCAGTGGGCGGGGATTTTGGAGCAAGGGGCAGAGTTACAATGGACGGGTCTTATGGAGCAGTGGGCGGGGTTACAGTGGTGCAGGTCGGAGGCGAGATGAGGCTTCTGCGAGGAGCCGTTCTGGACAATGATGCCCGGTGAGTCACCTGAAGGAGTGAAAATGACAACTTTTATTCTGGGTGGAAAAATACTTTTTTTTTTTTTTTAAATAACCCTTTTTTAGACACTCAAAGACACGTCACATGTCATTGCTCCTTCCCTCCATACGGTGGTGATAATGTGCCAGCTGGGTTGTAATTTGACAGAAGCGAGGCGACCAGTATGTGCCCGTAGGACCACCACCAGCCGTTCACACACACGCACCAGACTCGTTCAAGACAATGTTGGTGAAGTACGGCACTAAACTACGGCTAAAAATTATCTATATATAGAGTCTATTGTTCATTCCCATCAAAAGATAAATTGTGCATGTGAGAATGACATAAATGTGCCTGGTTAATGTCATTTCAGCTCATCAAAACTCAAAGATATGCCTTTGGAGACGTTGATTGGGGTTGGGGCAACATGAACCATTCCGTTGGTAGTGACATTCAATTTAAAATCAAAATAAAAGTTTCTCCCCAATATGAAACAAAAATAAAAAAACGCTTTTTAAAAGCAGATTTAGGCTAAACTTTAAATCTGCTCTGAACCAGAAGAAGAAACAGCCACTAATTTCCATAGATCATAAATATTCTCATTCATGAAACCAAAGTAAAGCAGCTGCCGGTGATGATCTGCTGCAGTCCCTAAACAGAACGACTGAGACATAGGAAATCATGCCATGGTGCAAATTGATAAAAACAATAGATAAGGAAATTAATTGTTCTCAAATAAAAACAAACAAGTGGAGTGGTTATAACGAGGAGCCACGAGGATGTGAAAGCCAATCCCACTGTAACCAGGTTGTAACCAGACTCTGCAGAAACCTGAACACTGGAAACTTGGACTCACGCTCTAGATTCAAGTGCATCTGAAATGTTGCTCAAAAAACAAAACAAAAAACAGATTGAGGAATAGGAGAATATTAAAACTACTAATAATAATATTTGAAATAAAAACTCAGCGCAGAGATCTCCTAAAAGAGACAAGCGTTCCATTTTAGACGAGGGGGTATTGTAATATGGAAGAGGAAACCGGAGCACCTGGAGAAAACCTACGCAAAGATATTGAAAACTTGATTAGAAAACCAGGACCATATTGATTCACGTTTGACAAAGCTGAAGTTGGCTGAATGACAAATGTTTAGCTCTATATCATTGTTTTGTTTTTCTTGACAATCCAAACAAATATAGTCAACGGCGGAATTCTAGAGCTTTACAGCGTGATGTAAAGTGCAGGTGAAGTTGGCTGGATGACACCATGCAAGACAGAGGGCCACATAACATTACAGAAAGGGCCGCAATTCACCCGCGGGCCTTGGTTTGGACATGCCTGCTCTATATAAACAAGGCAAATCATAATAACCTCGTGGGTGAGAAAATTCCACTGTTCAAAACCTACATGACCTAAAGCTGCTTTAAGAGGATTATTCATTCTTAGTTCATTTCAAAGATGCCTTGATGGCGAAGCGGAAATTCAAAACGGACGACACATTCACAGGAGCTAAACCCTCGTCCACCGGAGCTCATGTGATCGGGTGAACTTTAGAGCAGATTGGAGCAAATTGCAAGGTCCAGTGAGACTATTCTCACAGCAGCTCATACCATTACACTGCCTCACGTGTGAGAGACTTGTTTTTCAAGTTAATCGCACTCTTACACTGTACGCTACTGTGTATGCTCGCATTTTTTAATTATTCTCATATGTTTAAGGCTGACACATTCTTTCTCCCTAAAATATATTAGTTGCTAATAATATAGATTAGGTAGAGTGAACACTTTACAGGCTGTGCTGAGGACCCTAATGTACAATTTTAACAGTCAACTAAAGAAGTGAAAACTGAAATAAATAAGTATTTTAGCCCAAGATGTGGAGACACTTGTACAGCTGTCTTTTTACATGTTTTTAAATTGGACCTAAAATGTGTAATTAAGTTGACTTGAAATGAATGATCATCGCTGATTTAAAAAGAACGCACTTTAAAGAAAACCACTTTAACATTTTGAATACAATTCAAACTGTAGGTCACTCAATTCCTTTATCTTTATTTACAAAACTTCAAGTCATACACAAAGGCTGAGGTCTTGGGTGCTACAGTAAGGCGCTTGCAGCATTCTAGGAGTAAGTAAGTAAGTTAGTAAGTTTTTATTTATATACCGCCTTTTCACTGCAGATCTGAGTCTCAAAGCGGTTTACAATTGTTAATGTTGGGCATTTGTCTCACTCCACACAGAGATGGGAGCGGGGTCGCCAGTACAGGAGGCGCATGCCAGACCTATTGGACATATTTTTAGTGGTAGGGGAAACCGGAGTACCCGGAGGAAACCTACGCAGACACGGGGAGAACATGCAAACTCCACTCAGAAAGGCCCTGGTCCGGCCGGGATTCGAACCCAGGACCTTCTTGCTGAGAGGCGAGAGTGCTATCCACTCAGCCACCGTGCCGCCCTTGTGGAGTGCTTGTCTAAACACCAAACAGACTTTGGGACAACAGCCACGTGACAAGGACTTAAATGGATGACATTTCTGAACGACACACTACATGGATGGATGTATTGTTACATCCACAGCGGCTCAATATCAGCTGACAGAGACACGTTTCTATGATCACAAACACAAATCAGGAAGTTGGAAACAGTCCTCCAAGTCTGCCGGTCTATGCAATGGATTTATTAAATGCAAATATACCACCTGCTTGTCCCCTGCAGACACAATGTTGAACTATATGGCATTGAAAAGTAAACAAGTCATGCACAATTTAAGAGAATTTACACCATACTCACTATTCAAAATACATCTGAAAACTGGTTAGTAGCACAGCAGACATGTAAGTATTAGCCTAAGTCCCTTAACTCATTGCTTTGTAAATATCTTGTAAGGTAACTGTGTATTGTGTGATGCAGGTTTTCTTGTTCTTCCCTACTGTCTGTGTTTTACTGCATTTTAAAACTGTATGACTTTATACTGTTATCTTTAGAGAGATTATGTGCACCTATCCAGGGACTGCAGAAATGTGTATTAATGCACAATGCCCTGTAAAATAAACTAAAATAAAACAAGTTGTGTGGAAAACCTTTTTAAACGAATGGGTCTATGTGTTTACCCTTCAGTCTGAATGAGCCACTGGATAAACGTGAAACTCATTGAAAGCGTGTATTCTTAGGTATGAGCAGAATCGCCTCACAAAACAGATCTTACATCCCAGGAGACATACTCAACCCTTAGACGAGAAAAGAAACATATATAAAAACACAAAATGATAATAAGACTTGTACCCACCATAGCACGGGTCCCCTCGGTGGGTCGTGTCCGCCATGGCGTCTCTCTGTCTCCGCTACAGGTGGGAGGCAGGTGTCCAATGTTCAGTGCGCTCCATGCGGGAGAACCAGGACTCGCCTTGCCTCCTGCTAACACACCATCACCCCCCCGTCTGCTCCCCGGCCTCCGCACCCCCCTCACCCTGCTTCTGTGCCCGGAGAGACACCCTGTGGCTCGGTTAGCGGCTTCTCAAGGAGCGAGAGGTGAACCAAAACATCCTCAATGCACTTGCCTCCACGGCTGCCAATCAGGAAATATTCTGCTTTAATTTGTCCCAGGTTTGTGATTAAAGCTGCGGACAGGTTTTTGTTTTTGGAAAGAGTTGTCCCAGTCCGTGAAAGAGGGCTAAAGATGTGAAAAATGTGAAGTTTGTCCGGGTTGAGGCGTCATACCTGTCGCGTCTCTACCGCCGCCATTTTGAAACAAACTTCTGAGGAGCTTTTGTAATGAACAAGAGAAAGACTACGCTAGGACTACCTCCGCAGTCAATTTGACGGCTTTTAGTTTTTGGAAGTTTAATCATTCATCTTATGTGCATCCTTGTCTTCATAACTTGTTTTACTTACTGTATTTCCATGTCATTTTTATGAAATTATCACTTTTGAAACCTATTTTCAACCATAGATTATCAACTGCTGGTTACCATAGTAACACATTGTTTACCGTTAGAAGCTAGCAATAGCTTTTAGATCCATGGCTGCAGGTTATTTCAATAGCAGTTATGATGACCAGTTTTATCACTTGTTAAAAGTAAGTAAAGGTAAACGTTATACATGACTTTCAAGGAATCTGGTAAAAAATGTAATTCTTTTGGGGTAACTTTTCAGAATTCTATTAGTTTGAATGGGGCAGTCAAAATGACGGCCGTTCTAGTAATTTCAGAATTCTGGGTGTAAGTAAGTAATCTTTATTTATATACCGCCTTTCACAGACCAGAGTCACAAAGCGGTTTACAATTGTTATTTTTTTTGGGCATTTTCTCTCACTCCACACAGAGATGGGAGCAGGGTCGCCGAACAGGAGGCGCATGCCAGACCTATTGTGCATGTTTTTAGTGGTAGGGGAAACCGGAGTACCCGGAGGAAACCTACGCAGACACTGGGAGAACATGCAAACTCCACTCAGAAAGGCCCTGGTCCGGCCGGGATTCGACCTTCTTGCTGTGAGGCGAGAGTGCTATCCACTCAGCCACCGGGCCGCCCAAAGTCCTAATGTAAAGCAACACTAGGACATTAATGTATCATCTAAAATCTCATGCAACAGTTTTTTTAATTCTGGTACATAGGTTAACTTTAGTGTGGAAAAAATTACAAAATGCTTTGGCATTCTTTATTATTTACCAACTCAAACTCTGAGGAGCACAGGGACTGGCCTCCTGCTTGATCCCAGAATCAGGACTATGACTGGCAAGTCCAAGAGAGTCTTTTCTGCCATCTAGTGTCAACCTCAGGAACAGTTTTCTCAGTACATTGAAATAAAGCCAAACAAGTTGAAAATGTATCTTTATTTGATGTTAAAGAAATCCACAATGGAACAAAAATAATTTACTTGTGGTGTACAGGAAATTAGAACAACACTGCATTTGGGAACAGATGTTGGAGGAAAATAGATGGGAGGTTGAGAGAGCCTCATCTAAATCAAAGACTTTATTTCAGTGTTGATGATATACTTCAAACCACAGCGCAAACAACCTCTGCCAGTGTCATTCAACCTTGAATTCTTACAATTTAAACACAGGCTTTGAATGCAACAATTCGTAAAAAGGTGAAGTCTTGCCGTGTTCGGAGAGTACTTCACTTTCTAGAATCTTGCAGTGTCACCGACAGAACCACACACAAATCAAGCTCTCAATCGTATTTCTTATCAAAATATACTTCATCCAAACCAAAAGGAGTGTGACAAATGCATGCTGCATGTTTGACACCAAAATATTCCACCGATGTCCCTCAAACACACATGCTTGCTCGCCAAGATGACTCATTTATACGTTTTTTTTCTATTTTCATGCGCCAAAGGTATTGCATAGGACTTTGGGTTAAATTCCCTCACATCATTATATGCAACGACAATGGCTTTTTTTCCCCCATCTTAGTTCTACAGGTCAAAGCGACAAACAGATATCGCCATCATAAACTTCTACTCCAAAACAAAAGTTTAAAAAATGATGGGAGGAAACCAATGCACCATCACAGGAAGAGATGTGAAACTAGGACTATGCATGAGAAAGTTCCTGAGTGCTGATGTAGTAACATTCACCATTTCTTTTAAACAGATATTATTATGGCTACACATAGTTGGAGCTAAAGCCGCCATTTTGCAACCAGTTCACAAATCAAAAAAAAAAAAAAAAAAAAAGGACCTACAACTAGTGCCATGAAGTTTATATCCCCCATCTTGGTGGCATAAATCAAATAATCAGAATCCACACCAAAAACGAGTTGTGTTGAGGAAATTTAACAAAATCCAATGTAAAGTCATGTGACGATGCAATTGGATGTTGGATTTTTGCTCCCTTTCATCTATATTGTAACACGGCAGGATTATTACAGCTGTGTCCAACCTGTTCATTCATCCATTTTAAACACGTTTTTTATTTCTGTTAAAAAGACGGAAGCAGGACAAAAAGGATTCATTCGCAGAGGTGTGTCGTTTTGCATGCACAAGCCCCGACGTCCAGGGCCGTCCGAGCAAATTAAAGGGTGTAAATGTGTCTGTACACACACTTTACAGGTTATACAAATCCGAACCACAGCCTGAACCCGAAACACACACACACAAAATGCTAGTTCAACACAACAATGTGAACAAACAAAAAAAAAATTATGAAACACCCCTATAAAACAGCAGAGCATTGAGTTTTTGGTTGTATTTTTTTTTTTTCTTCAATCCACGACGTTGATTTTGAGTTTTCATTTTAAAAAAAAGAATTTAAAAAAACATCACACAAAATGTCAATCAATGCGATAATCTGTGGAAAGGGATATTACTTCAGTTCAACCACTTTTTTTAAACCGTTATTTTACAGCTTTTCTGTACGCTTTCTCGTCTGTGCCGCACCAGAGAGAGACCAAATCCCAAACTACCGTCATCTCGGTAGTTTCTAGAAAAGCGCGGTTTGAAGCGTTGAATTCAAAGCATTTGTTGTACGATCTATAATTATGATCAGTTCAAAATCAAGACCAGACTGAAGAAGTTGTATGAACATAACAAATAATGATGTATTCAGCACCAATACTTGGTACCATTAAATAACAGTAAAATAGCTAGTTTAATTTGGTGGTGCAATTTAAGCAAACAGATGGCTTTGTTTTATAGGGACCAAACCCCCAAACTGATTTTTCAGCATTGCGTTTTGTGTAGTTTAGCACTCTGGCCAGAAAATATGTTTTGTTTTTGTCTCTTTTGTGATTTTTTTTTTCATCGTTTAGTTTACAAACCATACTATACTACTAGCTTATTAAAGACTCACCATTCAAAAACCAGACTTATCACACCAGGATTTAGGGATGGTTAGAGCAAAAAGCTGCACTCATTCTCAACCTCACCTTCAAAAGTCAAATTATTTCATTTTTGAAAATCGGACAGAACTCAAGAACCTCGATCTTAGTTTTGCTTTCTGAACACGAGGTGGAGAATGTGGTGTTTTTGTTTTGTATTTTTTCACATAGATTCACCACGAGTGCAACTGGACGGACATACATGCACAACCATTCAGACACAACCAACTAGCAAAATCCTAGTTCAAAAGTAAAAATGGTGGGAACCAAACTGACAAGGAAAGAACGGAAGATTGCCCCCAAAAGCCAACTGTGAGGTCTGAATGAGAACCAGTGTAGAAGAAGAAACTGAAACTATTTAAAAATTGATGTCCCACACAAAGTTTCACTCAAACACATAACACATTTTTTTGTTTTCCTATTTTCACTCACTTTTGATCTGATTGTTGATTACACAAGGATTACGTTAGTTAATGAAAGCCCAGCAAAGTTTTTGACAGAGTGCCTCAGAATATTAGCCTATATTAGGATACTTATTCTGAGAGGACTACACTTCGCTGGATCCAGTCTCAAAATGAGGATCTATCCTCGCAGCAACAGGCGTCTTCACCGGCAGCGGAGATTTCAAATGTTGCTGCTTCCTGAGAAAACAACACATAATTACTTAAGACACTTTAAAAAGGGTTAAATATTATCATTTAAATTACATTTAATATTGTATCCGTTTGCACAGACACAAGGTAAACGTTCACTGGACTGGAATCAAACCCACTTCCCCTAGCGAGGTATGATGTTTGGAATAGAAACCGTTGCAATTGTTTGTGCTTCAGATTTATGAAAATAGAATGTTTGACAAAAGAATCTGAAGTAAAATCTTCCATAAGTGCCCACCATTCAGAGCCGTCTCCACTGCAGCTGGTGCAGACATCTGTTAGCTGGGGAACTGTGCGGTTATTGTGACCAGAATTATCAGTGATATTTTTGCAGTATTAATTGAATACTGGCAGAGTGTTGAATACATTTGAACTTTTTATTTTTTTTATTCTATTTAAATCTCAGGCTGAAAATCGCTCGCAGACATGTTCCTCCGCTGAGGCATGAGAAGGTAAATGTCTAAGTGTTTGAGCAGCATCATTGATACAGACGTCACCCCAATAAGGAAACTAAAGTTTGGATAAGAGATCAGAAAGGACAGTTTGGGACTATTAGCTCCTGTGTTATGTTCCTTCAGGGCTCTGCCTTAAAGTAGTCATCACAACACGTCTCTCTCCCGCTCTGAAATAACAACAAAGACTCTGCTCTAAATTAAATGCATTGACTTGTTTGGAGCCATAGCTTATAATGTGGTGTGCAGGGGCAAGCTTCTAAATGAGTGGGCAGGCTGTCCGTTTGGGAGGGCGATACACAACCCTTTACTACAGCTATAACACGCCCCCACAGCAATGAATTAAAAATGAAAAATGAGAGCGGACAGCCTCCGCTGAATGGAAAGCTCAAGTGTACCCCAATTTAATGGAAAAAGACCACATCAATTGTAAACAAGACAAACTAATGTCAAAAAAGGAACATTTCTTTTGAGTTTTCCGTCAGTCACTGTTTACCTGAACACTGAGATCCAGGAAAGATTGGGGAACAAAGAGTGTTCTGCCACCAGCGCTCCTCCTGGTGGTTGCCAGTACCTCCTTGTGCTCCTATATTCAACACAGGGAACTAAAAGAAATAACACAGTCAATGAAAGAACATACACCTTTAACAACAGCCACAAAAATAAGTTCCCACCTCTGGCAGATCTCCAACAAAGTCATAAGCAATCCCATACTTTGGGATGTGACTGGTTGAAGCACACAGGCTGGACTGCTTTTCTCCTGAAGATTCCCCTTTATTCATCTTCAAGACTGGGGTGTAAGCCTCTCCATCTCCAGTCGCTGCAGATGTGGTGATGTCTGGGCAGATTTCTTGCTCAGCAATGGGCAAGAGGGAGTTGGAGCCCTCCTGAGAATCCAAAGAGGTCTGGGCACTCTTCTCCATGCCAGACTTTTTTAATCTTGGTAAGAATTTACCAGATTCCAGTTCTGACTTGCCATAATAAGGGCCCTCGCATTCAGCATCATCCTCCAGAGGTTTGAGGTCTGCTTGGGGATCATCAAAGACATCAACTGGAGCCACGGCAGGTAAGCTCGTCTCCTCTTTGTCCATTTCAGCCTCGGAATCACTCACTTCTCCAGGGGACAGCTCTGAGGCCGAGATGGGGCGGAAATGAGTGCGGGGGGAAATGCGGATAGCTCTGTACTGTGTTTGATTGATGCCATAGATGCGGGAGTGGAAAGCTTCATTCTCAGAGTCTGAGCAGAGAATGGACTTGGGTTTAAACCCTGGGCTAAATGAAGCCATTTCCTCAGGCTCAAACGAACACTCAACATGGAGCACTTTGGAGAAGGGATTGTTTAGGTTGAAGGGTGCGAAAGGGTATCCCAAACTCTGATCCTCTGCATACAGTCCTCCGCATGTCCCAAGCAAATCTTCATGGAAGATGAAAGAGAATCCCTTATTTATGGCATCACCACCTCCTCGTATAGCCTGGTCTCTGTGGCCGAAAGACACTAGAGGCCTCCACAGGGGCCGGTGTCCTGGGGCAAAGCAGCTGCTTGTGTTCATGAAGACATCAGTGCCAGTAATGGTGAGCATGTCTGAGCCGGAAGTAGCTGCAGCACACTTGAGGAGGCTCGGCTGACCTGGAGTCGGTGGAACCACAGCCCAGCTCTTATCAGAACTTACGCTCTTCAACTCTCCATACACCCCTCCTAAAATGAAGGACGAGTTCTCTCTGTCAGTCTGGACACCCCAGGGCTTGGACGGCGTCATGTAATCTCCAGAGTTATTGACCTTGGAGAGTTTGTTTTTGGCCAAGTCTTGCTCATCTTTGTTTCCCTCCCACAAGTGATACTCTGAGCGCTGCACAGCCTTTTTCTGAGGCCCCTGAAGCGGAGCCTCTTTTGCTTGTACCTCTAGACAACTGCAACAAAAAGCATTGGACTCTTCTGAGAACAGTCCCTCATTTGCGGTATCTCTTTTTTGCCTTGACTTTACAGAGACTCCATCTCCTGTTGCAGTCCAAATGTCCTTGATTATCCCTGAGCTATAGTTGGCACTCTGAGGGTTTGGGTCTGAAAACATACCACCGCTGTAATCCTCTTCCAGTGCTATGCCACAAACAGATTCCAATTTAGATTTTTTGGTATGGGTGGGTACAACGCTGACATTTACCTCCTCATGTTTTTGGCTCGGGTCTTCTTGTAAAAATTCCAAGATTTCATCCTCGAGATATGTACCAGAAATAGGTGGCATTATACAATCGAATTCCTCATTTACAGTTTGAGCGGAGTCTTCAGCCAGAGTGGTGCTCTGCTCATTGTCAGAGCGAGTCTCCTCTGAATGTGACCATGGACTACAAGTTCGTGTTGAAAGGTTTGAACAGTGTTCTGTTTCGTCAAAGGCACTATTTTTGGTCCATATCAGCAAACGAGACTGTTTGTTAGAATGTGGGTCGAGACAGCTACTCGAGTCCGTGTTTTCGTGACCAGCAGTGAGTGTGTCGCGGGGAAAGGGAAGTGTGGGACTGTCATACTGCAGCTCAAACAGTGAGAAGCAGGAGGAGGTTAAACCAGAAGCTTCACTGGTGGCTTCAGGGACACGTGGCTCCTCTGTGTTTGCAGAAAACGTGTTCAAAGTATAAACACTGTCAAGAAGAGGGGACAGTCGAATGGGAGAGTCTTCAATATAGCTCTCTCCATCGATATCATCTGAAGTAGATGGTGAGCAACATCCCCAGACTTGAGCCAGGTTTTTTAGATCCTGCATCAAGAACCCAACAGAACCTGAAGCATCTTGCAAGTCTGCCCTTATTGCACTTTCCCCTTGATGCTCAAGGCCATCTAACACTAAACATTCTGCCTCCATGTCTCTTTGATCTGTACTTTTCTGTCGAATCATGTTTAAGATTCGACTCTCTTGTATTGAGTCTGAGGCACTAGGATCCAATATGGATTGATAAATATCAACTTCATAGAAGTGAGTGAATTCTGGCAGATGCTTGTCATCTAAATGTGTACTATCCTCTGGCTGAGGGCAGTTTGAGGTCCCAGGGAATTCAGCAGTTACATCTTCTGCTGCACCAGGGCCCTCAACAAAATGCCCATCCACAAAAGAGCCAGCAGCTAAATACGCCGTCTGGTAGCTCTCCTCAGCAATACAGAAACCCTGGAATCTTTTGGGGAGCCCATCTAAATCAGTCAACATGGCAAACCTTTCTGGAGAGTCTACCTTGCTTCTATACTTAGTTTCTAATTTGCTTTGTCTGCTGCTGAAAGGTATAAAATAATCTGTGATGGGCTCAGTGTACCAAAGAGGCTCTTCCATGTATTCTTTCCGACTCTCCAGTGCACACTCTTTTGCTTCCCCCCAGCCTGGATGTTTGCGGCTCTCTTTCAGCTGTCTTTTTCCTCTTTTGTAAAGCTGTGGAGGTTTGACAGCGCCTCCATTAGCACTGCTGCTGCTCCCCAAGTTTCTTCTATCGTCTGAGAACTTCACCTGGGTCTTGGTCTGTGCGCTGTTGCGGGATCTCCTGTTCCTGATGGCCTCCCTGGACTTGTGCCGGACCCGGACTGCTTTGCTCCTGGATGTCTTGACCTCTCCCTGATTGCCACTGGAGCTGGAACCTGCCTCACTGGAGCCAGAAGACCACGATCGCGGCCTGTACTTCCCCTCAGATCTGTGTCTGATCTGCTTCTTAGACGGCCGCTCCTCTGCTGCTGCCCCGCTATGGTATCGGTTCTCCTTCTCCTTCTTGCTTCGTCGATGTTGACTTTTCAACGTTGGGATGATGTTCATGGAACCACATGCCTCCAAATGTTGTTCTTTTCCTGCCTCACCATCACTGTTACAATCTTTGGGAGAGGAAGTGTCCGTGCTGGTCTGCGGTGCTGCTGATGATGAACTTGAATATGCACAGGCCTTTGTTTTATTCCAAACTGTCATGATCTCCTGAAGACAAACTGGTTTCTCTGACAGTGGAGGAAAGGCTTCATAATACCTGATGAGAAAGAAAAGCATATGCATCAAATAGCAACAGAGTATTAGAACTAAAAATGAAAAACAATTATAGCAAATCCTTACATTTCCACCTGGTCTTTTGAGGTGGGCGAGTCCGAAGGCTCTGGTATTGGAGCGCCATCAGATTTCTTTTGGATCTGCTTGGCTTCTGCAAAACAACATATATTCAGTATAAAAGGCCTTTGATTATGTCAGTGAAGGTTATTTGCAAATAGGTCGAATATACACTTTGATAATATAAACATTTTGAAAACAAAGAGTCCAATGAGTTTTTTGGATTTTGAAATTTATTTTATAAATCAGACCAGTGCTTTTTGTTTGCCATCATATTCAAAGAAACACATTGATAATCAGTTAATTATTTAAACAAATTATTCTAGATTTTTTGCAGGCAAAGATAAGATGTAATATAAAAGAACTACACCAATAATGACAAGTTCCTTAGAGAAACACAAATTTGAAGTGAAACATTTGAGTGACAAAAGGAGTCAAGTCAGAATGTCCAAAGTGTATAATAAGAAACTTCAAACCTTTCTGTTTGTTCTGGATGTCCTTTAGTTTACAGCAGAGCTCCTCAACCAAGTTTTCAATTCCAGAGTTCTAAGAAAACACAAGAAGTACATTTAGATTTGAAAAAGATACTCCTTTTTGTTGTCATGAGATTTTTCTTATGACTTATTAGTTTTGTGTGTGTGTGTGTGTGTATTTGTTAATGAAAACCCTTCTCCGGATTGTAAGCCATGGCCTCAGGGTGTAGTGCCACGGTTTCACAACACTCTCATTCACCCTGAACTATTGTACGTGTTTTAGTGGAGGAAACCTACGCAAACACAGGGAGAACATGCAAACTATGCCCCATCTAGTCAAGGAATCAAACCTGGGACAGTCTGCTTGAAGCATGAGCAATAACCTCTGCACCAGTTCAACTCGGTTGTTGTTTTCTATTGTCCAAATGAGAACATGAACCAGAGAGATTGATCCATGTCAAAGTAATGAATATGACGATAATATTGGACCATCTCACTGTGGGTCACGTTCAGCTGCACATGCTCACTTATTGCCAAGTCTGTTTATGAAGCCAGTTTACAAGTAGAGAATGAAAGAGCAACAAAGCAGTTGACAAGATGTGAAAGACAGCGGAGATTTAAAGAAAATAATAGAATGGCACTATGGAAAACGTGGGCCTCTTATTAATTTAAAGGCAGGGCCAGTAAAATCACCTTTTAAAATGTGATCTGTGGAAATACAGATTAGTACTAGGGACGCAACGATTCTCAAGATTACATCATTTAATATGTGCGAGTTTGCTCGACAACAGATTGCTACGAACACAAAAAAGTTGAGGTGAGCAGAGACATGAACCGAGAGTCTGCTGTTGGTTGGTGTTGCAGCGAGTGAGCAGGCCCTCTACCTTGCTTTCCCCAAAGTTGCCGATCACAAACACACAAGTTCAAAGTGTCATCCAGCCAGCTTCAGCTCCGTCAGTATAGGCCTGCTGAACCACGTTGTGAAGCTCAGACCCTTTGGGATATTAATGTCAACATTGATGGTCCTAATGCCGCTGGTGAGACAATGTTGTGGGAACCGATAACCAGTATTACCGTATCCCATGGTATAACACTTCCCATACGTTCACAACGCTGGTATTTACAGTGGACACTCAAATCATGACTGAATCAACATTGAACTACTAATGACATGAAAAGGATAAACAAAATGTGAGGCACATTACACTTCTCACCATTCCAACTCGGTATAAGCACAAATGATCCTCCCGGCATGTGTTTTTTCTTGCATCATTGTACCGACTGGAGCCACACAAGTGCAATCCCGTGCAGTGTGTGCTGGTTAAAAAATAGACCAGAGTCCAGTCTCTTGAGAACACTTCTCAAACCCTTCCCCCACCCGACCAGTTCCACCTGCTGCCATTCCAAGGCCCGCTGACCCCCTCCGCTCCTCACGCACTTAAATGTGACACATTACTATTATCAACAAACCATAGAGTGTGTAATGGGGTTGGACAGTGCTCAACAAATCCATAAAGGAAATGGATCATGGATGGAATATTTAATCCCTCTGATCACGCTCACTATCTCGGATTAGATTGTTGGCGTTAACACTCAGCATCTGTGTCTTTTTACTTTAATGGACCCTATATTTTGTGGGTATTATACTCATCCATATTAAATCAAAATACAATAGCATAAGATGTTTTATGTATTTTCGTGATGTCAACAATAAAACATTTACTCCGAACTTTCATAATTGATTCCAAATTGTCAAAAAGAGGAATATACATAGGCCTAATTATATGCATTTATCTTTATTTTCTTCCATTATAATTGTTTTTTTTTAGTTATGTACCTAAATGGAGCTTTACTGTACCCTTCAAGCACATTAATGTTATTCTAATGGTTCAGTATCAATACACAGCCTCTACTGTAATTTTTCATCTGTAATACCATTGTATGTGTTTTATGGACGTAGAAATCTGAGAAATCACCTGGAGGCAATTCACGCAGACACAAGGAGAAAGAAACCCAGGCAGCTGTGTCACCGATATCTATCCATCCATCCATTTTCTACCCTTTAATCAATTTCTGGGTCAGGGGGGTGGCAATCAGAGATGCCACCCAAGTCTCATAGCACCAGCCCCTCACTGACCCTCTGCAGGTGGTGAGTCCACAGGAGGACGGTTGCTCTCCGAGTGTGAGCATAGCCTTGATCTTTCAGTGGGGGCTTTGGGCAAAGTGGGGTTAAGTGTCTTGCCCAAGGACACAACGACAGCAGTCATCAGTGGGAGTCGGTGGAGAGGGTGTAGAGGTGGGAATTGAACCCACGACCTTCAGGCCTGAAGGCCAATGCTCTACCAACTGAACTACTGTCGCCCCTTTTTGGTTTGGTTATCGATTCGTTGTGTCGCGCAATTAATACATCACTGAGCGCGCGAGTTGGGCGCATTCTTGTAGTTCTATGGTTGAGCGGACGGACGCACATGCACCACAGAACTACACAACACTGCATGCACACTGCCGTAAAACTCCACAGAAGAAGAGCAGAGTGTGGCGAAGGTGGTCATACAGTCTATGGTGGAGGCAATTATTCGAGCAAGACCGCGTTGAACCAGTGCAGAATAGCGACGCGAAGGAAGCGTGCGAGTGTTGTACCGCACTAACTTTAGACACTTTGCACAGAGTCAGAGGAACAGTGTTTCTCAGGGTCAGGGCTGTCATTGGGAGGTTCTGAGACGGGTTAGATTTACGGAGAACAAGCCTGGAAGTCACGTCGGGGCGCCGCGACTCCAGCCTCTGCTTGTCTCTGGTAAAATCTCCGCAAATAGTGGAGAGAGAGAGCGGAGGAGACAAGAGAGAGAACAGGGACGAGAGAAAGCAGGGAAGACAAGAGAGAAAGCAGGGGAGACACATTTTATGATAATTCTAAAATCCATAATTTCCAAAGCCATATGACGTCATAATATGCTAATTAGATGGGTACACTTATTCCCTACATAAAACTTTTGGCCATCCTTAATAATTCTGTAATTTACAGAAAGTCTTTATCTTCCATCACTTTTAAGTTACAGCCTTTTGAAATAAAAATGTCAAACGTTTTTGAGTATATGCACTCAACAATGTACAATTACCCTAAAAATGGCTTAATTACACAAACGCGTCTTGTCTGTAATTGCTCTTTGGGTTAAACAACAATACTTGTTTTTGTGCACTTTACTTTATACTGCATAGCATACATTTGTATGTTTCTTTGTGTTGATCCAAGGCCATGTTTTTTAATAACGGGATGGAAACCAAAAATGCTTTTTTATCTGATAAATCGAAGAAATAATCGGCAGATTAATTGATTATTAAAATAATCGTTAGTTGCAGCTCTAGTCTATTTGATTCTTCGTTCAGTCTGAGTTTAAAGCAGCTCCCAGGTTTATTTACTAAACATGCAGGAGGTAGTTACCACTTCACTTTGTGCACTTAAAGTGGTTCTCACCCCCGCTCCTCGGAGCTTACGTCACTCACATTTCCTGTTCAAATCTTCCTCTAAATGGGCGTAGCCTGGAGGACTAAAGGGGGCGTGAACGAGACTGGGCCGTTTACATTGCTCTGGGCGGGGGGCTGCTGACGTCAGGTCCAACTTGCAGACGTCAGGTCCAACTTCTGTGCCAGTGTTGGCGCCAGATTCAAAATTCAAATGTAGTAATACAGGTCGCCAGCAGATGGCGCCTCACAGACGGTTTTAGGCAGAAAGTTTAACTTTCAACTAATTTGCACCAAAGTGAAAAAACTATGACCAGGATATGTAGACAACACTATTGGACACTCATTTAAATCGTTTATCAACAAAAAAAAGTGGATTTGAGGGTGAGTTGTCCTTTAATTCACCATGGACTCTGAGTTTAGCTCTGTTTCTGAAATTGGGGTTTTTGCACATCGTCTCTACATTATTCCAAAACCTTTTTAATCCAGCTACTCAAGCCGCTACCTCATTTACTTTTGGACGACCCGACCTCGCTAACCCCTGGACACAAACGACCTGAAATTGCACATACTCACTGAATAAGCAAACCAATATGTTTTTTTGTAATACATTTAGAATTTAGCTCTAGAGAAATGAAGCTTTCTATTTTTGTAATAATCACATTAAACAGTGACAACTCCAAATCTGTGCATCTCACATCTTTGGGAACACAAACCGAGCAGAAGAGAGCAGCTTTGATCAAACTTAAAGTCGTCCTGCATTGATAAAAACTGTAAAAAACACAAAATCAAAGTCTCAAAGTATTCTGTACAAAATGTTGGAAAGGAACGATTCTCAGTGTTATGCATGATGCGTCCTCTTGGATTAGATACGCAAATGTTTAATATTAACATGATGATTCTGTCGTGTGGAGTTTGAGGCCGTGTTTTGGAAAAGCCAGAAAACTGCAGTAGGAATAGTTGTTTTTAAAATAGTTAAGATTAGGAGCACCGTCCTACAGTAACACGACAGTTATGAGTTCATTTTGCTTGTTTGGGAATTGATTACGTCTTTGAATCCCCTGTAGGAGAGAAACGATTCAGAGATCTCACACTATTCAGTTCGATTCAACTCATGATTTATGGTGGATTGCGATACATACGTTTTGTTTTGTTTTTTCAGTAACACAAATAGAATAACAGGCCTGTTCTTTACTGCATGCTTGCAACTACTTCCTATTGCGTCCTTTACTTCCCGCCTTTGCTTTGAGGTAGAGCGTTTTCTGTGGTGAAACACGATCAACATAAAAGTGGAGATGACAGACGCAGACCATGTGGACAAATTTTTGAGCCAATTTAACATTTATCAGAACATATATGTGATTTTGAAATATTAAATGATGAGCGTTCAAAAGGAGCAGGGGTATTGTGACGTTTGTGTATTGCATTGTGGTTCGTTGTATCGTTACACTCCTAGAACATGGGTATCCTCTGTAATCTTATTGTAGTCATGGTAATCATGTGTGTGATGCCACAAACATTGTGTGTCACTTACTTCATCAGAAGCAGAGCGGAGGCATTGGACAGCAGCCTGTTTCTTCATTTCCTCCAGACTCAGGTCGGACACACCTTTCTTCTTACTCTTGCCCCACTTCTTCCCAGCACTCTTCTCCCAGCCCAAGAAGATGTCGTTCTCCTGTTGACAGAATTTTAATACAAGTAACTACTGCGATGCTCACACTGCAGAAGTAACAGGAAAAATGTATTCCTGTAAAGAGCAAACACACCTGGTCCTGCAGATCATAGTCATAACTATCGTGCAGAAGGAGGCTGAGGACATAGCGGGTGTAGATCATGGCATCGATCCCGCACTTCTCCAGCTCCTGGCCGAGCCAGCTCTGCACTGGGCCCAGCGACTGGAGCAGGGACATCTCTGAGGCAGACAGGGGGCCCACAAGAGGGAAGGGGGAGGTGGTGTGTTCAGGAGGAGCAGGGCCGTCCGAAACGGTGCTCATGGGACGCATGAGACCTCAGGTGTTGGCCATTTTAAGGTACAGCTGCTTCATTTTCAGTTATGGTTTTGGTGGAGAGGGATGAAGAGGAAGTGGGGACCGAGGCAGGGCAGTCACTCCAGCAAGGTGCAAAGAAGGGGCTCTAAGTAGGGAGGCATAGGGGATTTTTTTTGTTTTTTTTTTGTTTGGTTTATTATTGCTTTGAGCAAAATGAAGAGCTTCAGTCGTCAGGCATGGCTTAAGCTGCTGAGACGGTTCAGCCGCTGAGGAAAACGCAATGTGTTTCTCACTCACAGGAGGCCATGTTACTTCTCCAGCACAACCTAAATGAACACATGAAATCAAAGTTAATTTGAGTCAGTCTCATATGTATATATTTGAAAAATGTATGAAATGTCATAATTTATTCATTCATTATCTCTGTCTACACTAAAAACAAGTAACATAGCCCAACGGCAAAACATAACTCGGATAAAAAAAAAAATAGAAAGATGTCTGAGAGACATCTAAAATGTTGCAGCACAACAGTGACACACATATGGCCACATTCCTTTATACAGGTCGCGTTTTTTCCTGTAGTAAGCTACAATTACGCAGACTCTGATAGTTTAACTAAGCAGTACATAAGAACATTGCGTGCTGCATCTGAACTCGCACCAGTTTTATTGTATTTTAATGGATTTATAGCACTGACAGATTCTGCCAGTTGCTGTCAAACAGCATGCCCTTTTCTGACATCACTGGTTTTGGTACCAACGTGACCAGCAAATGGAGCCGGCCTGTGCGCGCATTTGAATGGCGCAGTCCACTCAACATTGGAGCCTGTGTTAAACCCGTTTAAGACTCGTGAGAGGGACAACATGTCATTGTCTGCACAAATGTTACAGTTCCCATTTTACGGTAACAGTATGAAATACATGATTTAGACCGTTTCACCGCAGATAACAGTGGAGGTTCATCTAACTAGGCAGTTAACTTTAAAGTTAACTTAAAAGCCACATATATAGTATGACCAACATGGTTTTTAATCTACAACTAAACTTATAGTTAAATACCACGGCTAACGCCATCTGTCAAATTCTTCCACAACTAAAGCTTGAATGCGGCATTACTTTAATAAAGAATCATTCAGTTCTACTGAGCACTGACACGCATCAGTTCATTTACTTGGGGTAAATTGCACAACACAGTCCTGGTTGTCTTCTTTGCAGCGATTCTCTTACTACAATTTACGGGCATAATACAAGGATAGCCTTTAGCCGACCTTTAGCGTTAGCTCCGAAGCTAAGCTAGCGAGGTCCGTGTAGCTGCCCCACTACTACCGAACAAGCTGCAGTTGATGTCTAGGATCTACTTATAACGTTACATGACTTTCTTACGTATAGTTCTGGTAGTTGATCGCTGAACGTTAAGTCACATAAGTTGTGATAGTTAATCGCTTCACATATTGCTGTAATTTAGCTAGTAGTGTTACCGCTGTGGAATTAGAGCTTCCGACTGCTCGTCGTTTAATATAGCTGGCAGCCAACGAGCCCCAACCATAACCCCGGGACAAAACCAGTGTTTGTTTCCGATGTATCTAATGACATTCTGTTTCAGGACTTGCTAGCTTTAGCATCACAGCCACTGTTATGACCCAGAGGAGGAGGCTCCCGTGGACGACCGTAGTTACGACGTTCTCCCTTCAAAACTGTGCGCCATAACATCATACAGTAAACCGCTCAGACCGAGGGTTAAACGACAGCAAACGCGCCATAATGACACCAACAGCTTCTAATCATATCCGATGGTAACAGACCTGCCGGCTGAAGTACCGCGGAGCGGCGAAAGGGGAGCGGTTATTTTCCTCCCGCTGCCGACCCGAGCTCCAGCTCTGGAATCCGCTGCGGTAGCATCGCGTATCATGGACGCCGTCAGAAATGGCGCTGTTTTCACGTCTACGACTTTCGTTACAACTCGGATGAAACTGGCGACATCCCGGCTCCTACAGGACGAAGGTCATTCGTCGGTAACACTGGGGACCGGATCCAAAATGTCCGCTTCACTGAGCCAGTTTCACTGGAGAAGAACTCCACTGTGTGTCACCCTCCGCCTTCGTATCCAGGCAACAAGACAAACCTCTGCGCAGAAATGGGGGATCCTTCCGCCGGAGAACGCATCAGAGCCATTTTGATCAAGAATGTATATTACTATGATTAAAATACACCATATTCTCTATTTATTATAAACAGTCTTCGGCCGTAACAAAGTCGGCAAGAATACCATGGGTTTTACTTTTTTTCTTTTTTTTTGTTTTTCTTTTTAATTTAGGACATTTATCAACTAATGGACATGCAGCATTTTTGTTGTTGTTAGTCATCATCTCTGGTTTCTCACTTTCATTTATGTCATCTTTCTAATACAACCTATAGAACCATTGGTTTCAGGCCAGGACCAGAAACTGGTGCATTCATTATTTTACATGTCACATATGAGGAAAGAGACATTTCAATATGAAGTTTCAATCACACCATTTTGTTGTGCCTTACATGTATCAGGGTGCAGAGCTGTTTCCAATTTTAGACTCAAGCTATTTATAGACTCACTCACAACTCAATACATTCATCAGTGGAACCATCTGGCCTTTGACCACTGGGGTTGTGACCGGGTGAGGAGACGGCCCCAAGACTGTCGCTTCAATGACGGCCAATTAATACTGTACAAACGCCTCAATACGTATAACTTTTTTGTACCTGGTTTCATGTACATATTTGTTGCGCTATTTTTTTGTTTGAGACTGTTGTTAAACCAAGATAAGCTTAAATGTTTTGTTCTACTCATTAGAGCACCATCCATGCATCTCTTTGTGTTGGCTTGAAGTTGAGCAGGAAGATAGATCTTATTATCTATTTATTTTCTATATATAACCTTCATTTTGGGCTTGTTATGGGTTATGGCCGTTACCCCCAAGTTTGTTCATTACATCAGCTTGTTATAATCAATATCTATATCTTAAAAAATACATATAGTGGAATACAGATACCTGATGTAAATGAACATTTTCCGGTTTAAAAGATGTAGAAATGTTCTGCATTACCCTAACTGGTCTGTATACAGAAGCAGAAGTAATAATAATGGAATGTAAAACTGGCAACAGGAAGTAACAAGTTTGTTATCTCAGACCAAAATTCAGTCCATTTGGAACTACATTCTTGAGACTTTTATATTATTTGGGTCCCATTCAGCTGAGCTTAACTCTTAGCCTTCCTAAAGAAAATACATTAGTGTTTACTTAAAGTAAAATTAAGTCTCCACACAAATGTTATCCATTCTCAGAAGCTCATACCCAAAAGTTGTTCAAGTCTATCTTATTTTTAAAGAGAGGATGGCAATACCCTCCACCCTTTCATGGCTTAGTAAATATTCATGGACATGCGTCCACGCTCTGGGTCATAAAAGGATGCCCTTCCCTGTCCAGTTGCATTCTCATGGGAGTCAGAACTACTTTAAAATTCATTATAAGCAAATTTTGGGTTTTCTTTTCAACATTTTCCAGGTTAAAGGAAGTGATGCAGCTAAGACCGGCCTTGAGCCTCGGGCCTGTCCAGATTCTATTGCTTTGCCTTTATTATACATTTACCACTACAGGGTACACGGGCGGCACGGTGGCTGAGTGGTTAGCACTCTCTCAGTAAGAAGGTCCTGGGTCGAATCCTGGTCAGAACAAGCCCTTTCTGAGTGAAGTTTGCATGTGTCTGTGTAGGTTTCCTCTGTGTGCTCCGGTTTCACCTACCACTAAAAACATTTACTCTAGCTCTGAATGTAGTGAGTGAGTGAATGGAAGATGTTTGGTCGGAGGCTTTGATGGACCAGTGTGTTCGGCGTCTCGCTTCTGTCTTTACCGTGTGGAGAGAATGAAACAATATTTGAACTCTGAGCATTGTAAAGCCCTGACCTTGTTCTGTGAAACGCTCTTAAATAAAATATTATACTTACTTACACTGGTGGCTGAGTGGTAAAGAGATCCTGGGTTTGAATCCCAGTCGGAACAGGGTATTTCTGAGTGGAGGTTGCACGTTCTCCTTGTGTCTGCGTGGGTTTCCTCCGGGTGCTCCAGTTTCCCCTACTATTAAAAACATGTACAATAATTAAAATCCTCCAGCTCCAACTGACCAAGCCGAGCATCAACATCTGGAGACGAGTTCCGGGCGCTGTTACCACAGCGACCACTGCTCCTGGGTCAGGATCTAGGTCAAATGCAGAGAGAAGAAGAATAAAGAACAAACTTCACTTTTACCAACTCACTCACATTTGGACCTATTGTACATGTTTTTAGTGATAGGGGACACTGGAGCACACTGAGGAAACCTACAGTACGTAGACACAAGGAGAACGTGCAAACTCCACACAGAAAGGCCTGGCGGTGGAATCGAACCCAGGACCATCTAGCCGCTGTACCATTCAAATACATATTCAACACAGAGGAGATAAACAAAAACTTGATTCTGTCATTTCTGCAGTTATTGTATCGTCCAATCAAAAGCTTGCGATGTCTTTTGTTATTTTCTACGGACTAGCCTGATGCTAATTGGAAGTCAATTGGACGTTAGCGACAGATGGTCCAAAGATCCCCCATAATCCTTTGGAAAAGCAGCAGTGAAGTTGTTATGGGGGAGGGTCATTTCACTTTCAGAGTCTGGCTGTAACTGTATTCATTATTAGATTATATTTTAATTTTCTTTTTGTACATTTAAAACCGTGAGACAGATGTTTCTTACACCAAAGACCATTTATTAGACAAAACAAAAAATAATGCATCCATCCATCCATTTTCTTCCCCTTAATCCATTTCTGGGTCGGGGGGGTGGCAGTCAGAGCTGCACCCAGTACACTCAGCACCAGCCCCTCACTGATCCTCCTGCAGGTGGTGAGTCCACAGGAGCTGAGATCTTTCAGTGGGAGCTTCAGGCAAAGTGGGGTTAAGTGTCTTGCCCAAGGACACAACGACAGCAGTCATCAGTGGGAGTCGTGAAGTAGGTCTTACGGTGGGCTCGAACCCACGACCTTCAGGCTCAAAGGCCAATAAGATAAGATTGCTTTATTTATCTCACAGAGGAGAAATTTACATGTCACATTTGGCATGGATAGAGACACTCAGATTGTGCAAAGGGAGGAAATGTGCAAACATGTTACATGCAGGATATATGTACAATAAAGTGACAATAATTATGTACAACAAAAGTGACAAGTGTCAATTGGAAACAGTGTCAATAGTAGTGCAGGTTTTCACACAGTGATCATTTAAAGTGACTTATTGTACAGTCTGACAGCGGTGGGGATAAAGGCCAATGCTCTACCAACTGAGCTACTGTCGCCACAAAAAATAATGAAAAATATTAAATATGAGCTGACGTAAAGGGAGGGTGAGGTTGGGAAAGGAGAGGCAAGGGGAGATGGGGCGGGGTAAGGGGACAGGTTAGGGTGAGGTGGGATAGGGTGAGGTGAGGTAGGGTGAGGTGAGGGGTGAGGCAAGGTGACGTGGGAAGAGGTGAGGGTGAGGTGAACTGAGTGGGTGAGGAGAGGTGGGGTGGGGTAAAATGGGATTAGGTAAGGGCGGGGTGAGGTGAACTGAGTAGGTGAGGTGGTGTAGGGTGAGGTGAGGGGTGAGGCAAGGTGAGGTGGGGAGAGGTGAGAGGGTGATGTAGGGTAAGGCTGAGGTGAGGCGAGAGGGGTGAGGTGCTCTTAGGGGGTGAGGCGACAGTGGCTCAGTTGGTAGAGCATTGGCCTTTGACCCTGAAGGTCATGGGTTTGAGCCAAGACATTAGAATAGTTTTTAAGTGCTGTATATAACCAATGCATTATTATTATTGAACTGAGGGAGTGAGGTGAGGGGTGAGGTTGGGGGAGGTAGGGCTTTATTATTATTATTTTTTAACCTTACTTAACCAGGACAGTCTCATTGAGGGAGACATGAGGCAGTGAAAGGGTTGTGTGAGGTAGGGGGGAGATAAGGGGTTATGGAGCAGCTAAAACCTCCGGGGGAAGTGTATGGTGTATTGTGTGGGCTCTCAAAGATGTGTCAGACTCATGTTTTAAGTCTGAATCTGTTTGGTTTCTTTGTGTTTTTTGTATGTTTCTTTGTGTTACTTTTAGTGTTTCATTGTGTTTCCTGGTTTCTAATCAAATGTAAATCCATTCTCCTCAGCTTCCCCTGTGGGAGCGTCAAAGAGGAAGCAAAACAAATCAAAATACTGACAATCAGACCTTTCTTTCAGCGCACGCCATCTCCACATCCCCCGAGAGTCTGTGGTTTGTCCGGAGAGTCGCTCAGGTTGGACCCATGCAGAAGATTCTCAAACAGAGGTCTGCGTCCCCACAAGAGTAAGATGTAGAGAGTTCAGTTTGTCTTCTTGTATTTAAAGGAGCCGTATGTAAAAATCTGGCAAAAAGTGGTACTGCAGCCTCTCCCACTCTCCCTGACTCAGGTTGCCAGATATGCAGACGAATCCAGCTGGGACCATAACAGCTGAATAGACAAGAGTTTTGTCAACAACAAATCTATAACCAACACCTTTTTCACAAAGATAGAAATCCTGGTTTTATTCCTTGTTTTGTCGTTAATGATTTGAGAATCATAACGAGACCTTTTTTAGTTCTGTGGCCACATGGTACTTTACCAGTGAGATTAGCTCTATGCGGTGAGTTCTGGCGCCCGGATCACGGAGATAGCCGGATGCCCATGGAGCATGGTGTGTATAGGGAGCTCACTGGTCACTCTTTCTCGGCCGCAGTCCCGCAGTCCAGGAGGAGACTCACAGTCTCTGCGGGCACCTGAAGTCCCCCAGGGCCCAGGGGCCTCGGCGGGCACCACTCCACAGGATTGTCCACATTCTTTGTTAAAGTTTGTAGATCAGGGGTCTCCAACCTGTAGCTCGGGAGTCACCAGTAGCTCTCCACCCCCTTCCAGGTAGCTCGCCAAAGGATTGATAACTACTTAATATTTCAGATTGTATTATTCATTATCATTATTTCTTATTGTCAATGCACTAACTTTGTCAATAGTTACAGATATGCAATGATAAATAATGAATTTACCCAATATCAGGCTCGTTCACACCAATATATCACCACATTTTTCCCAGGACCGCTTAAAGAAGTAGCTCTCTGCCTTTATCGTTCTGGGAAAGTAGCTCTCTGGGTGAAAAAGGTTGGATATACCTGTTGTAGATGATGTGTGTGGATGATCTCTGTATTCTCTTTGGGACAGAAATATGATCCACTGCTTTGAGAGCTGCTTTTTGACATTGTTCTGTATTTCTCACAACAGATCCATGTAACCTTTCACAGGACTTAACACATCATAGACCGCTTCCGTGAAGTGTGAGCCGGACTCGACCTGCTCTTTGAGTCCTGCCCGAGTCCAAAGTCCTCCAGTCCTGTGTTTGCTGTGTCTGTGTCTCTGTCTGCAGCCACAGCAGAGACCAAAAAGATGACATCACACTCTCACTGTGAGTTACAGAGGTCCTTATCAGCTGCTGCTTCAACTCAGGCCCCGAGCAGTGAACCACAGTCCCAGAGGAAGAATGTAAACATATAGTGCCATGACTATACTCGGTATTAGTCAATTACAGATGTTAGTTCTGTATTGAACTCTTTTCACATCAGTTTAACTGTTTGTTCTCAAGGACAGCAAACATTGTACACAATCAAACTACGTTGTAGTCACACACATTCCTGCTTCCTGATGTGTTTATGTGAACAGCAGAGATACAAGGAAGTGCAAAGAAATATTCACTGCATGTTACTTGTTTTACAATTTTCATGCAAAGTTAAAGCTAGAATACCTCACTTTGTTTTTGTTTCATAAATACATTGTGTTTGTTCCAAAAGAAAGAGTCCTGTTTAAATGTATATAGCAGGATTTTCACAAGTTTTAGGAAAGAACCGCAGAGGGACTGGTCTTCTACTGGGACTCTGAGGAGCACAGGGACTGCCAGAGTCAGGACTTAACATGGGGAGGCTGCATTTCAGATTCCTTTCTTCCTAATAATTTGAGCCTAGGATGGAATGGTAATGTCCACACAGTTTGTATGAGAGCGCTTGGATCATCGCGAGTCAGAAGGGCCTTTAAACATCTGTCACTTACTTTCAATCTAGAGCTAAATCTATGCGCAAAACATAAATTGTGGATCATTCTGTCCTCGAGTCCCGCCCGGAGCATCTGCGGCCCCAGACTAAAATGGTTCCAGTCATACCTCAGTGGTAGAACATCTTCTGTTATGATGGTGATAAGTCTTCCTCTGTTTCCTCTTTGTCATGCGGTGTGCCTCAGGGTTCTATTTTGGGTCCCATGCTATTTTATATACTACCCCTGGTGTCCATTATTGCCCGACATAAATCAGCATTTCATTGTTATGCAGATGATCTTCAAATTTATTTGCCAGTTCGTCGAATGGGAGTGATGCTGTATCATGTCTGATGGACATCTCTGACATTAAACAGTGGTTACAGCAGAATCTCATCCATTTAAATGAGGACAAAAGTGACTTTATGTTGTTTGGCGATTCACATGTTTCAAATTTTGGACTGTTCTCTTCTTCTAAAACCAATGGTGAGAAACCTTGGTGTTGTTTTTGATCGTTCTTTTTGTTTAGACAAACAGATTGACAGCATGGTCAGGTCAGGTTTTTTGTCAGCTCCGTATTTTAACAAAGATAAAGCCTTTTTTAAACCACTCCGACCTGGAGAAAACGATCCACGCTTTTATCAATTCAAGAATGGATGACTGTAATACCCTTTATTTAGTAGTCCCCCAGTCTTGTTTTAATTGTCTTCAGTTGGTGCAAAATCCTGCAGCAGCTTTTTAACAAACACTCTCTCTGACTCTGTTTTTAAAGCCCTCAATGGTCTCGCCCTCTGTACTTGTCCAAACCTTTGTCTGTTCGTGAGGTCCTCATCTCAACTCCTCCTGGAAGTACCAAGGACTATGTCTAAACCCTGGGGAGACCGGTCCTTCTCAGTCACTGGACCCAGACTCTGGAACAAGCTGCCCCCTGACACTGATTTTGGCCTTTTTAAATTGAGGCTCAAAACGTATTTAATCAGACTGACTTTTTTAATGTAATTTTATTGTGAAGCACTTTGGTCGCCTTAAGTGTTGTAAAGGGCTCTACAAATAAAATTGATTGAAATTCCATAGCCCTTTACAGACTCAAACCATATCACGGCCGTGTCCTGAGAGCAGAGTGTTTAACTGTCACAAGATTACATCACGTTTAATCACCTTAGTCTCCGCTGAGTCATGTGTCGTGTGTCATGTGTTGTGTGTCTGCAAACACACGGAGATAAGATGGTTCCTTGCAGCAGTGTGTGATAAAGGGATGGGACAAAGGGACTCCCATAAACAATAACCTTCCTTGTGTCACCTTTAACTCGGTCCCCGTCTGCTTTCTTGACCTCCTTGTTCCACTGTGCACATATTTGGAATTTAGTGAGTTTGATGCTGTCAATATTATTGGATCCGTGGGTTGTTTCTCAGTTTCGGTAAAACTAAAACTGTGCTATACAAATAAATGTATGGCACCGCATCCATCCATTTTCTTCCCCTTAATCCATATCTGGGTGAGGGGGGCAGTCAGAGATTCCACCCAGTCCACATGGCACCAGCCCCTCACTGATCCTCCAGCAGGTGCTGAGTCCACAGGAGCCTTCATCTTTCAGCGGGGGCTTCAGGAAAAGTGGGGTTAAGTGTCTTGCCCAAGGACACGACGACAGCAGCCATCAGTGGGAGTCGGTGGAAAAGGTGTCATAGGGGGATCGAACCCACTACCATGAGGCTCAAAGGCCAATGCTCTACCAACTGAGCCACAGTCACACCTACTTTGAGTGAGTGTCAGGAATGAACCAGACAGAGACAGATCGTGGTGCGCCAAACTCTGGAAGTTTAAGTTTCTCTCAAGTTCCAGTGGTTTCAATTGTTTCTTTCTCTCAGACAAAATGGAGTCAGTACACAGTTTATATACTCATTGTCACGTCACACATTGAAAGACATACGTGTCACACAGAGATAGTCACGAGTATATCATAGTCAAAACATGGAGTCCATCAGAGTCCTTGTGCTTGCCCTGCACGTAGGCCATGAGCTTAGTCTGTAAAATGCGCTACATAAATAAATATTACTGTAGCGACCCAAACCTATGTCGCTTCTGGAGAGAAGAGTGCGGGTCCAGTATAATGGATGACGCGCTGCCGATTGTAAAGAACACGCTGGAGGCACGTAATGTGTTTTGTGGATTTAATTGTATCTGCGGTTTATGATTGTTACAGTGCATATGAGTAAAACAGAAAACAAAAGAATATGGACCAAAAGTGTGCGGTCAACGAAAAATACAGCTACCCGGCTTCTCCCCTCTCCCTGTCACTGAGCAGGAAGCGAGTGCCTTTCAAAACTCCCGGCACAACACCCATGCCCATGTGCCCCACGCCCCCTGACACGTTGCCATAGCAACCATACCCATGAACCAATAGATATGGCTCCTACAATTACTATTGTACAAAAGAGCTTGGAGAATGCTGCTAGCTCACTCATATTATTACAACTATTTTTTTTTACATAACTCAATATTTGAATACTTTTGAATGCGCTGGAAAACGGCTGCAAGTCTTAAGTGTCTCTGAAACACTGCAGTACAGTGTTCATGGTTTTACACTGGTCCAGACCAGAGCAGAGAGGATTCATGGATTCATGGTCCCAACCAAGAGGATCAGGCAAAAATCCACTGGAGGAATGCTAACTTTTTGAAAAATGCTAATAAAACATTTAGCATTTTACTTTGGGCAGAGCAGAGAAAATGGTCTGAGCCACCTCTGCTGCTGTGACCTGAAGGACTGTTGCTAACTTGCTGATTATTACTATTGTTAACTTTTTGAAATAATCCATTTTATTTTTTATTTTTGCTGCTACTGGACACCTGAATTTCTCCTAAGGGGATCAATAAAGTATCTATATCTATCAATACAACGAGACCAAAAGCTACTGTACTCTCGGTCTCCTGCATTTTACTGATAAGAGCCGTGTGATCAGCTGGGACTGTAGAACCCAGAGCCTCCATGACTCACAGGTACCAAAGAATGTCTGGCATGAGCGGCACTCTGCGGTTGGAGCGCAAGTATTTCACATTCTTTACATAACACATAATTGTCTGCATCTATAGATTTATATGATTTAGGTTCTCTTTTGTATAGACACTGGGGGCCTGAGTGAGGTAATTATAGATATTAGGCCA